TTTCCTTTCCTTTCCTTTCCTTTCCTTTCCTTTCCTTTCCTTTCCTTCCCTTCCCTTCCCTTCCCTTCCCTTCCCTTCCCTTCCCTTTCCTTTCCTTTCCTTTTTTGTTCCTTCCATCTTTCTTTTTTATCTGCTCCCTCTCTACTTTCCACTCTCCAAAAAGGTCATGACAGTTGTTCATTTCACACAGGTTTTCCTTTAACCTTTGACAGAAATTGGCTGAGATCTGAAAGGCTGGGTGGTATCTGCGTTGGGACTTGTCAGATGGTGGAGGAAGATGAGAGAGACCACAGTATGCAAGGTCACTGTGGTTTGCCATGAAGCCTCTTGGAGACTTCTCGGAGCCTTCTCAAACCCTGGATAATGGCTTCCTGCCTGCCGCCTGTCCTGTCGGTAAGAGCAAGCCTTTCTTGGGCCTAGGCTGTCTGCCCACCCACTCATTATTTTCTTACTTGCTTTTGGGAAATCATCTGGTTTGGTGGTGAAGGAAACAAGTTAGAACCAGACCTGTGTTCCTGTCCCAACTCCACTAGTTACTAGCTATGTGAATTTAGAAATAGTACTCAACTTCTCAATGTCCTCAACATGGGTTTATGAATACTTACCTTGTAATGTAAAGGTTACAGAGGATGGACCATGTCTAAGCACGGTACATAGCAGGAACTCAACAGCTATTGATTTTGGCTTGCTGTGAATGCTTTGGTGAAATAGGAGGCTGTAGAAGGTAAAGTCTGCCTTTCTACGTGCTCAGTGGAACAAAGTTGGGCTCAAGTGTGGACTGAGAAAAATAGGACTGGATTCTGGGTTGAGGAGGATACAAAAGTAAGATGTAAAAATATGAATCATACTTCCTCCAGTTCCAGCTATTTAAAGGGGACAAAGAACTCAGGTATGCAAAGATTGGGTGATCAAGGCTAGATACTGCTCCTGAAAGTAACCCTTGGAGTTGGTTTCATGGCCCAGGTAGCTCTGCTTTCTCTTAATAACAGAATGTCTTAAGTGCAATGTGTTCAGGGCAGGAGGATAAATATCTTAGTAACTATAATCTAAAGCTATTCCAGCCATGGGAGCTGAGAAGCGGAAACTAAGAGGCACCTGTTTGTATCAGCAAGAGACCAGAATGGTCAGACAGAGCTAATGACTCTAAAATCTGGGTTTATCACTGTCCATTGTTCTGAGATATTAAAAATATTTGATAGATAGAATGATTGGCATGGGAATTTGGAATACAAAGGCCAAAGCAGTGAATCTGGGTAGATATGAAATCCAGTACCTGCTCCATTGCCTTTAACTGTGTAAACCAGTATGGATTCTTAAACTCTCTGAATCTTAGTTTAATTAGCTGTAAAAATGGAATCATGTCTAGTTCACAGAACTGTGATGAGAATTAAATGAGATAATATGTCTCAAAGTCTAACAGAGCACTTAGTCATAGTAGTATTCAGTATGCTTATCGAATAAATACTAGAAAAAATTAATCCATAGTATGCTTTGCATTGAGGATTGACTGTTCCTTTTTACTTTCTTCACATCTCTTTTCTTTGTCTTTTTTCCTATTTTTTTCAATTTCATTTCATTGTATTCACCTACCTCCTTTCTCACCATTTCCTTCATTTCTTTTCTCCTATGTTTCTTAATCCCCAGAATTCACTTCTCTGTATTGAAGGATATCTTTGGCCATCTTTCACTACGTCCTCCATTGGTTAATAATACTTGTAGGTATTAGCCATTGTGAGTCGTAAGAGATATTTAAATGTGGTGCATCTGAATGGAAAAGAGGTCTTCACAAACAGACCAGAAGGTTCCCCTCCTCTGCATAGTCTTCCCTGGACAGCTTTCTAGGGGCTGCTCTGAGTCCTGGTTCAATCTCTTCACTCACTGGCTAGTTCTCATATGTAAAGATCATATGCTAGAGTGGAGGAAGTGTGTGGTAAGACAATAGAGCCATGAAAAGGGGCGGAATGATCTCATTTTCTTGAGCCCTGGTGACACTTTAGAGGAAGAGCAGAAATGCCACAAAGTAACATCACACAATTCTTTGCTGGCAGCCAAATCTCCATCTGCCAAACCATACTCATCTGGCAACCTGAAGATGAGGGAGGTAATTGAGGGGAAGAGACAAAAAGCAGGACATAATGTCCTATTGTGCATGTCAGAGAGAACAGGGAAGGGAAAGAGAGTCTGTCTGGAGCCAAGGGATACAACAAGGGGAGGACACCAGGCCTCCCAGAAACAGTCGTTAGAATCATAAATCATCACTGTCCATTAATGTTAATGAGGGTTGGCATGGGAGGGGGGTAAGATAAAGTACATAGATAATTCAAAAAGCCTTTTATTTTGGATTTGGAATTATATCTCCTATTGTGCAACCCATAAATCTACCTTACTCATCATTTTCAATTGCTGCTTAAATAAAGTTTTATTTTCCTGAAAATTGAGGAATTTCCAGGGCAGATGGAAACATGACCACGTGGGAGGACAGAGAGCCCTACCCAGGTTATTTTCCCATTTTCTTATTTTTAGGAAATATTATGCAAGTATGAGGCAGAGGCAGGCACTCATTGCTTTGACTCTAGAAAAGATAAGGATTAGCTTTCAAATAAAATTTAGATTTCTCTGAAAAATGATAAGGGCAAGAACTGCTTAGCTTACAACAAAGCAGAGTCATTGCATCTCACAGCCCAGTGGTAAGGTTTTCCATCTGATCACACACCTAAGGCAAGATCTGTTAGACATAACCATGGGTGGAATCAAGGCAAACAGCCTTTCCCTCTGATGCCTTTTTACTTCTCTAGTAGCAAACCTATTCCCTATCTTGTCAGATATAATCACACAGACACACATGAGCACATATACACATACAGACACTCACACATGTGCACCAATGCAAGGGCAAACACTTTGTTTTGATCCAGGAAACTGCTCATGATTGAGGTATTAGAAATCTAGGGGATAGAATATATATGATTATGAATGGGCTTCCCCATTCTTTTATTATTGATTTTGATTTTATTATGGAAAGAGACCCCAGCCCATTGACTCTGCTGAGATTTAGACTTTAAAATTTTTTTTGAACTGCCTGACTCCCTATGTTTTCTTCAATCTTTTTTCTTGGCCAACCCTATGATGACCTCTCTTCTTGAATGCTCTCCACTGTACCTAGACTTTTCTAGTATAAACTGGCATAATAGTAAACTGTAGTGTCAGCTTGAATAAGAAACACCTAGTGGACTGATTCAGCACAGTTCTAAGTGGGTCTGGATGGTAGACTTACTGAAGAGAGAAGAACAAACCTAGATGCGGGTAGCAACAACCAATAAGCTTATAGCCTGGATGGAATAAAAAGGGAAAGAAGAAGAAATCTCACTTCTGCTTCTTCAGTGGAACTCCAGTCTTTGCTATTGCCTTTAGATATCCATTTCCAGGTTTCCAGCACAGACTCTTAACCTTTTAACACAGAATCTTCAGCTTCCTGATACCAGCTCTCAGAAGACTGTGCAGCAAATTTTGACTTTTGACTGGATCTTCTGGTTCTCTGCACAGATGGTCCTCCTGCATTCTTCTGCTCTGCAGGCAACCACTGTAAGCCTACCTTACAAATTATGTGTATATATATATATATATATATATATATATATATATATTTAAGTCTGTTTCTCTGGTGAACCCTGACTGATACAAATAGTGTAGTTTGAGCTTCAATCCCAGAAATCTTGGATCTGTTAACTCTCCTTGGTCCTTAGCAGCCAAGATACATGAAAAAGTGATGGCCTTGGCTGCTTGTGCCCTCTGCCTGTTGCCTGCCTTTGGCTCTTCTGCACTGCTCTCCGTAGGCCCTGTGTAGTGGATTGATAACTGGTGGTCAACTTATAACCCCCAGCTGAACTGAGTAAGTGTGGTGCTGGGTGTGGGAGGCCCACCTGAGGACTGTTGCCAGCAGCATAAGAGGCAGACCTGGAGAAGAAGAAGAAGGCTGTTGGGAACTGAAAGAGACTGCTGGGAGCTGAGAGAGGCAGTGGGGAGCTGACTTTTCTGATGAACTTGGCTGTTTTCATCCTCCGAGGAGCTCGGGACCTCGCTGGCACTGAGAATGGCTTCAGTTCATTTTGGAGAGTTCTGGTCCTCACTTTGAGCATTGCTTCCTGGTTCTGGAGGGGAAGATGGTGCACTGCCAGCCTCCAGGAAAAGCTTGCTGCGTTGGTTTCCCTGACGGGAACTCGGCCATCCTGGTCATCGGAGGAGCTCGGGACCTCACAGTTGCCGAGGATGGCTGTGGTACCTTTTGGGGGAGCTCTGGTTCTTCTGAGCATCACTTCCTGGCTCCAGTGCAGATCCCTCAGCCTGCTAGTATGGGTCCTCCATCCTGCTGGCACAGACTTTGTATCCACCACTGACCTTTGGGCCTTTCCAGCAGATCCATGAAACAGGCCTGCATGAGATGTCATGGGCTCTGCACCTCCATTTGGATTCATGGGAGGCATTGTTACGAGCTCTGGGTATTCAGCTCAACTCATGTAGGACATTGTTGTGGGATCCAGGCCCTCAGCTGGATTCCTTGGTCTTAGTATGTGGACAGATTTCCTGTACTCTTTTGTATACTGTTCTTTGGATGACTTATAAATAATCATATGAAGTATGTGTCCTGTATTATGTTGTTCCCCTTGCAAAATAAGCCCCAAACCAACACACCCTGTACTCTGGATGGATCACTTTGGAAACTTGTGAAGCTCCTGCTAGCATTCTGCATCTTGCAACTCCCATCTACTTCAATCAGAGGACTTCTCACTGTCTTACTCTCTATTTCTTGCTCTCCCCTGATCCCACAGATGTGCCATCGTCGTGTCTTCCCACACCTCTGGCCAGCTGCAAATGCTCCTGCCTTGAAAGGTCCCGGAGATCGGTGCATTTCCTCCCCACATCTCTTCATGAAAATGCAACATGAAGCTACTTTTTCAGCTCAGCCTCCCCTCCCGGTCCTTTGTTGCCGTTAAAAGTTCTCAGATGCCTCTCTTTTGTTTTGGATACAGGCTACTCTGCCGCCACACCCCCAGCCTCTCCCTGGTGTTTCTCCCATATTGACAATTACATTTTGGGGAGTAGGCTACTTTCTTGACACAGTGATAATGATAGTGATAATAATATTAAAAATTATACTAGCTGATATTTGAGTGTTAACTGCATGTCAAACACTGAACTGTGGGCTTTCCCTCATTTACTCTGCACGATCATCCTGGGAGGCAAGGACTATCACTAAGGAGGAAACAGAGGCTAACAGAGCTTAAGTGGGTGTCCTGGGCCTGTCCAGCGAGTGGCTGAGACCGGATATAACACTAGGCAGCCTTTGTCAGCCTGTATTCTCAATCTTCTTACACCAGAACAGATGGTGGTCAGCCAGGGACCTGTTCGAGGCCAAGGGGCAATTAATGTTAGAAACTGTTCATGTATTATTATTTTTTTTCAAGAAAAAAACAAGTTATTCCAGGACTTGGATAGTAACATGGCAAACAATACAAGCAAATAACTCAACTTGATAGTCAGAATAATTTTCTCTCCTGGGTCACTTTGCTTCTATTGACATTGCCACCATGACTCTGCCTTTTGCTCTGAGGCACAAAGTTACCATTAGCAGTACCCTAGACTGTGGTTAATTTGGCTGCCCTCTTTTACTAAGTGGCTGTGTAAGAAGTGAAGAATTCTTTCCGCGGCAGCAGCTTGGGTGTAAATGGTGAGAACCTTCGTTTGGAACATGTTTGACGTGCACAGGCAGAAAGGAAGCTTTCATTTAGCTCAGCTGGTTTGCAGACAGAGCTGAGGGGCCGCGGTCAGAGCCTCAGCCCATGTGTGGTCATTCAGCGTTGTCCTGTTCCATGGCCACAGCCCGTACTTTAAGTCATGGCCAGACATCTTGTAATACATATGGCACGCTGTGATGGTCTCTGTGGGGAAAGGAGAATAAGGTGTGGATGAATCAGTTCAGCTTCAAGTTCTTGACCGAAAGAACAGTTCAGAACACACATCTGGAAGACAGCAAAGTCATGTGCAGAGTCAAGCCCAGCAGCACCACTGTTCTGTAAAATATTTCAGTTTGAGGGTGCATCCCCTGAAGAATGCCGACAAATCCTCAGTAGATACTAACGACGGCTAACTCTCTTTATTACAAAGAAAGTGAAACATAGTAAGGTTCACATAGTAAAACACTAAGCTATGCAATAAATATTTAGATCTTTTGGCTTCCAGCACTTAGGCAGAACTCCAATCATTCCAGAGCAAATTAATAGACAGTCTTTCTATCTCTAATTGCCTTTGTATCTTTATTGAAAACTCACAGAGCACAAGTGTGGAGGCTGTTTTGAGGATTCAGTGTTCTATTCTGCTGATCTTTTTGTTTATTTTTGCACCAATAATTCCTTCCCTTGGTTACTATAGGTTTATAATAAATCTTGAAGTGAGGTAGTTTAAGTTCTCCAACCTTCTTTTCTCCTTTATTGTTTGGATTAGTCTTTGTGTCTGCATATGAAATTTAGAATCAGTTTTTCCAATTTCTTTCCCCCAAAAAGTTTGTTTGAGGTTACTTTGAATCCGTAGATTAATCTGGGTACTGACTTATTTCTCTGAGTTTTTGACATGGTGCATGAATTAAGTTGTCTTGGGATTGAGCTTCTGAACTTTCAGCACATACATACAGATATCCAGGGCTGTAGATTTTTAGCTAACTGATTTAAAACTAGGATGAGAGGCCCCATTCAACCCAGCTATTCCCCTCCTGGGTATTTTTCTAGAAGAACTGAAAACATCATACCACAGTGATATATGTGCACCCATGTTTTTAGCAGTGCAATTTGTAATAGCTAAACCCAAATATCCATCAACTTGGGAGTGGATAAAAAAGATGTGGTACTTTTATACAATGGAGTATTATTCAGCTGTAAAGAAAGCTAAGCTAGAGGCTTTTATAGGTAAGTGGATGCAACTAGAGAAAACACTCATAACTGAAATAAATCAGATTCACATGTGTAAACCTTGTATTTTCTCCCTACTATAAGAACCTGAAAGAGTAAATAAAATCTGAAAGGTACAATAGATATTGTGAAAGGGAAAAGAAACTTCTCAAATAAGAAGGAGCAACTGTGATGAAGGAGGGGAGAGGAAAAACAAAAAAGGAAGAGGAAAAAAGTATGTATATGTGTACACAGGATAGCTAGGATACTTGTATTGCTAATATCTGTTGGTTTACTGAAAGGAACTGTTAATGTGTAATTGTTTGATCAATCTTGCATGCCTATATCTGGTTATATGTGCAACTGTTTTGACGATGACATTATATAATATAACAACTATTGTTAATACCCTGTCACCATATTTTGAAATTCTGTATCATCTTTATTGTTTTCTATGCTGTTTTATGTGTTTGTTTTTGTTATCTTGGGTGTTTTCTCTTTAAAATGAAAAACAAAATTTATATGTATATGCAAGGATAGCTGGGATAGGTGTATTGCTGATGTCTGTGGTTTAATGAAAGGAACAGTCAATGCTTAAAATTTTCTTTTTCCTTGACCAGTTTTGCACACTTGAATCTGGTAATCAGAATGACTGATCTGAAAACAACAGTATGCAGTACAAGAACCATTGTTGAACTCCTACCGTCTTATATGGTGAAGCTTTGCATCATTTCCAAGTTTTTTTTTTTTATTATTACTTATTACTGTCTTTGATTATGTGACCAGTCTTACATTCTTATGTTTGGTGAACTGAGCAACTTTGTTGAAAATAGCAGTATTTAATGTAGCAACCATTGTCAATTCCTATCATTTTGTTTTGAGGTCATGTATCATTTTTGGTGTTTTTGTGTTATTTTGATTTTGTCTTCATTATTGTTTTGTTAGTTTTTTTTAATTTTTAAAAGAAAAAAAGAAAGCTAATGAGAATAAATGTTTACATGGACTATAAGTCCCCTGGGGGCAAGATTATCAGGACTTCACTGATAATAAGATCATTTACACAAAGGGAACACTATTTCTACAAGCTATATTTAGAAAGTATTTAATTTCTGCAAGAAGCCCATGAATTAGATATTACCTGAAATACTTTACAAATAGGGAAGATGAGGAGTGAAGAGGTTGAGGAATGAAGCTGAGATCACAGAATAATTAAGTACTTAAGATGTCTATTACCCCCAACCCTAATTCATGCTTTACAAATTGTGTCCAAAAGCCCAGGACTCTGCTGATGCCCTGGGCTCATGTGAGTGTGGGTGTGGTGCAGGGGAGGAAGAGGAGGAAGATGGTCTGGTTCTTCACACTTCATATTGTGCTTTCACCAGTTTCCTTGTGGCCAGTTTTGTAGATTGGGGTTCTGCTTAGAAAACAAAAACTTTTAGAGCAATTTGTTCATGTTTGAGGTAAAGGGTAATTTTATCAAACGCTGTATATATATATATATATATATATATATATATATATAGTCTACTGTACCTCACAGATATGTGCAATCATAATGTACCAACCTAAACTTTAAAAAATGTTTCTTTCTTCAGCTTAAAGCTACACAATGCATATAATGTATATTCAGTGATAGATGCTACTATGACTTGTTGAAAAACGTGGCAGATGTACATGCACAAATCCTTTCTTGGTTCAGCCAGGATTCTTGGGGTGTCAGCTATGATTTGGGATTCCATAAGTAAAGACCAGAGGCCGTCAGTGGTGGTCCAGATGTGAAGCTGACTGACCTGCAGTAGGCCTTAACTAAAATCTAATGCCAAGAGCAGAGGTAACAAGATGATAGGAATCTACGCTGGCGTTTACCCAGATGCAAAAAAATAAGATGCTTATAACCAGTACACCGATGGTTAAGTTCTAAATCCAGCTATCATGACAAAAAAATGTTGATTATTTGGTTGGTTGATTGATTGACATTGATTTAAGAAGTACAGATTGGTTTTGTATATTAGGCAGCTGTTTACATCTCTGCTGTCCCCAGTGCACAAACACGTGAAATGTCTTTTTCCAGGGACTTAGGGGGACAGAAGTGTCAATCTCTCTATTTCTCTTGACTTGTGGATAGCTTAAAAAATACCTCTCCCTGTCTTTCATTTACATTTTTACCCCCACCTAGTTTGTCTTCTCCTTTTAAAAATCTAGACCTGTTCTGTCCCTTTTGTCCACTTTTGAGAAAGGATTTCCCAGCCTTGCCCTCTAACAGCCAAGACCTCCAGGGGCCCCAACAAAGCTCTGTGAGAATACAGTTTCCATCTGTGATGCTTCTGTCACCTGCTGAATGACTGGGACACTTGGGCTACGTAGTCTACGCAGCAGACCCCTAAGGAATCAACCTGAGTTTAGGATGGGGAGGGGAATGGATGCAAACTGAGGTTTCTACAGATTCATCTCATTTTTTCAGGAAGAGGGATTGGGAGCGTGTGAAAGAAAGAGGGGACCAAAAAGCATCCAACAGAGGATGAACTCTGACTTTGTGTAGGAGAGGAGAGTAAACTGGGTGGGGCATTTGTAAAGGTGGGAGTGGACATTAGGAGAAGTGAGTCTAAGAGGGAAGAATTTCTAACTGGAATAAAACAACTACCCAACATGGGAGGAGTGCAATTAAGCAGATGCTTCCTGAGTCCCTATAATCATAAAGCAATGTTTGCTGTTCCAAGAGAACAGCATAGGACTTCTGTATGTCTTCTTTTCTTCTGTGTTTCAGAGCAATGACCTCCAGGACTCTAGGAGGAGGAGTGATGCTAATAACAAAGGCTTTCTTTCTTATGGGGCTGAAGTGAAGTCAGATGTGGATTTGTGGGCGCTGGAAATCTAAGAAGAAAATCCCAGGGATTCTCACCTCCACACACCAGTGCCCATAGGGAGCAAGTGAGGAAGCCCATGAGAATTTCCAAGACACCCATGAGTGGTTAGGGAACCTATGGAGTGTTGAGGAAAGGCCTGGGAATCCCAAAGCAAAGTTCTATGGAATCTCACACTGTTTAGTCCTAGACATGCTCAGGAGAGTTTAAGGGGAAACAAGTTGTTTGAGCAGGAAAAAGCAAACATCTTTCACATGAGAAAATGACAGCCAGGAAAGAAATACACGCTTTACCCCAGACTCCCACAACCAAAATTCAGGATGAGAGAGTGAACGTATTCATCCTGCAAGTGGCCTGAGGCCCACCTAGGGTAGGACCATTTTCTTCCAGGTCTACTCGTTCGTCCGTAAGTCTCCCCTACCCAAATATCATTCATTGCCTTTGACTTTGGGGCTTAAATGGAAGAGAGCAAATTGGTGAATGCTTTGAGTCATCATGCCATGGGATGTTATTATTGAGTGATGGCTTCAGTTCTCATCTTTTGAGATACTTCTCGATTGTCAAGTTGAGATAGCACACGTGAAGCAACTTTGTTTGGGCAGTAATATCTAAAATAAAAACACTGTTCTTTGGAATCCAGAGAGCATCTAAACTTCTCTCCTGAAGTGGGATCCATTTGATTTGC